CTCTGGTTTCTAGGTGTCACAGACTGAACAGCCTTTCCTTCCACCACAGCCTCACACCGTGGTGTCTCTACCATGGAGCCAGCTAACCATGGACTAAAACCTCTGGAATCGTAAGACAAATTATACCTTTCCTCTTTTAAATTGTGTGTGCTGGGTCGTTGGTTTCAGTGACAAAAAGGCTGACTAGCACAAATACTTAACTCTTCTTCACAAGTCTTCAGTGATGCAAAAGCCCTGCTCTTCTGCTGTCGTGCTTCTCTGAGACGCTGTGAAAGGGCTGCTCCAGGCCCGAGCTTTGCAGCACCGATGTCGTCTTCATTCCCGCTTTGCACTGGTGAGCGGGAACTGAAGTCCAAGTGTTTTCACTTCAGAGACTGCAATGGCTGCGATACACTCAGCACTTGGAAGGTAACAAATTTGCTATGTCACAATTGATAATCAACGCTAGTAAAAGAATGTCCAAATCAATTGCGCTTTAGCAAGGGCAAACCTGCTGGAAGCAGGCAGGCTCCCGGCTCAGGCTGGCTGGGCTTGATAAATTTGCCCTTATTATGGCTATTGATGTTTAAATTTCTTCAGGGATGTTGTTACATGGGTGCCTGGTGGTGACAGAGGTACGGTGACCTCCTTCGATCCTTAATCTACACCTGTTAGTTGGCTCCCTGGTTGCCTTTGAGTATACTCAGGCTTAAAGGTTAACAAAAGAAAAACAGGCCAAGTTTACGTGATGGCAGCGGTGGATCAATGCGAGTAAATAACCTTCTCTGTCTTATTTCCCCAAGCGTTATTGATCCAAGTTCTTTGTTCTTTGTCATGTTTCTGTCTTCTTTTCCCAGGGGACACGTGGCGATCAGCTTGTATTGGACATGTTAACTGGCACATTATGACAGCTACCATTTTGTCACACAATGTGAAGAGGTATATATGTATGTGTGTGTGTTTTAATATTTCCTACACTGTAGACTGGACCGTGAATCTCACACATAAACTTCCATACTCCAACTTTGTTTTCTTTCCTTCGGACACAAGTAAGATTCCCATAACTTCTATCACATTAAATAGTTTATTGCCTTTAAATACCTATCTAAATGAATAATGATCTGATAGTTTAAGGAACCTCCTAAGGTACTGAAGCAGAGGCCCGGTGTGGGAGGGTTGGACAGCCTGACGCCTTATTGGACTCCAGGAGTTTTTTTGTTTTTTTTTTTTAATCTCCAAAAATTAGGTCTTTTATTGCAATTTCCCATGTAGATTTTAAAAGCTGTTGTCACTTTTTCTTAGTTTTTCTGTGGAACACTAAGAGGGTGTCAGAATAATTACCTTGGTGACCTTAAATCATCTTTTCCTCAAGGAAGTTCTTCTGGTGCCTTTGAAACATTTGTGCTGTAAGTAATGCGAATGGGAACATGACGTGTTTTCTTACCAAATTCATTGTATTTCATCTTCTAACAGATTGCGCATGCGTGTTAAATGCAGAGCACAACTTTGTAATATACTTTTATAAACAAGGCTGTTTAGAGACAGGAAAGCTCTTTTTGTAAATTTCATTATACTTTAAGGCAAATTTGTCCAGTTTGGAAGAAAAAAAAAAGAAAAAAAAAAAAACTTCCTCGTTGATTAACAAAATAATTAAAGCTAGAAGAATGATAAAATTATGATATCAAATATGATAACTTTTCTTTGGATTTGCTCAACTGAGAAAGATTTAGTTAAAAAATAGATAAGTTAAAGATAATATTAAGCAGTCCGCATTTGATGTATGGGAAACAGGACTGGTACTTTCAAGATAAAATTGATATACACTGAAAAAATTAAAACCCAATGTCTGTAATCACTGCATTTAAACTAAATGTATGGCAAGCAAAACATAGCCAATGTCTGTTATTTTGCAAAAGAAAAAGTACTTTCTTAACCCAATAGTAACAATATATTCCTTATAGACAGCTTCAAAAATAAACCAATCCTGATGGTCTAATTGGCGAAACTGACGATGGTCGTTACCCATTATTTTAAGGGCAAATGGCATTCAGCCTTGTTTCTTAAATTATCTCACCAAACAAATTTCACTCACTCAGATATACATGTAAATCGCGCGCTTTTCTCTTTCATTTATCAATCATTAACATATCCCACGTACGCAGCTGATACTAAACTTTTTTGGCAAACTCTCAACTTGGTATCGTGTTTCATGCACAGAAGCCACCTTTTAAATGATTGGTTGAAGCAGTGAAATAAATATTCCTATCAGTTCTTTACATGCACAAATCACTGCAACCACTAGTAGCGAGTGTGGAGTTGGTTATTGCTAACATTTAGAGCTCTCCTTCTGTACTTCACAAGGGTTGCCATTAATGAATGGATCTTCCAATGGTAACCACACAAAATGGAGTTGTTAATGTTTTAGGCAACAGGTAAAAACACTTCATCCTTGATGACTTATCTGACCTACCCATTTCTGAGCATCTGCACAACCATGGAATTTTTAAAAATACTTGTTTATTTATTTTTATATTTTAGGGAAGGCTCTACAGAGTGTTCAGGATCTCACTATTAGATCAGACTCATAGTGATCCGCCTGTTTACAGCCTCCCAAGAGCTGGGATTACAGGCGCACGTCACCACGCTCAGTCTCAATTGCCTTCTCAGTGTGCTCCGGGGGCGGGGCTGGCATGGCAGATTTGGGGATCAAACCCCTGGTCCCTGAGAACCATGGACTCTTGAGTGCTCCATGATCTCCCCAGGAATATGTGCTCTTGATTCTATGAATGTTGTGCGGGTCTCCTCTGATGGAGGTGTGTGAGAAGAAAGCTGTGTTGCTTCTCTTTTTCACAAAAACATCCCATCAAAACACACTAAGAACATCTTTTTACACATGTTGTTCAGACAGTCACACCATATGTTGTAGTCATAATTTTGGAGTCATTAGCTTTTATTTCTATTTTTAAAATTTTCCAACAATTGACCCTGCCATAAAGGTCGGCACATTTTCTAAAAGAAAATGTGCTCAAAAACTTTGAACAGAAATAAAAACAAATTCCGTTGAAAATATTTCAACTGTTAGATTTCTGCCAAAGAGCCTCTTCTTTTTGACTCCCCAAGCCATCATTGGACATTAAAGGAGACTAAGGAACTATTCTCAAAACTTTAGAAGTATTCAGTTTTATAGGAAGAGTCTGTTTGGGAATTGTTTGTTCCCCGAATGAGAATTGTGTCAGTTCTTGCCATACCTTCAGAAGCTGAGAATTTTGCAGAAAATGTATACAAAGCTACCATTAGTATAGGGAATGAAAACAGAATCTTCACCACTTATGGTGGCCATAAGGTTTCTATTTGTTCATTTTCTATCATTTCACAAGGTAATTTTCTACTAGAAGATTTCATTGTTAAAAATAAACACTATATAGTGGTTAGGTATTTTCAGGGCTTACCTTTGTCAAAAATGTCTCATAGTAGCTTTACATGGGTATCATGCTCATGTTAGAAATTTTGGAACCTCATACAGTACAGTCTTATGCATGCAAAGGAATTAGAAAAGTAAAGATGGAAGCCCCAAAATGGAGTTGAGCAGCCCAAAATTGAGTCTGCTGTGTCACTTCCCTGTAACTACACTCACTGTGTACAAATCCAGGCACATCCTTCTCTAGAGGCATGTAAATATGGTACCGAGAAAAGATGCATGGTAGATGATTATTACTGTGAACATCACTATTGACCAAGACCTTATTGTCAGTGACCATCCATTAATGCCCTTATTTTTAGTAAGGTAAGGCTGGTATAAACCCTGAAACAGGTAGTATTTCCAACACCATCTGGAAACTTCTGGAGAACAGAAGCTGGGTCTCCATCAGTTCCTTTTTTTAATTTCTAACACCTTACATAGTGTGTACACATAAAAATACTTAATGCAAGTGTGTTGAATAAAGATGGATACTCAATGTTAGACTATTCAATTTTGTTAATGCTTGGCTGCTTATTGACAGTTAATGCAAATGCTGACTGCTACATTAAGAAGGCAGTAAACCACTGCACAAGAAGAAGAACAGCCTACAATTGCATTCATAGTGCTGGAGACAGTGCCAGGTATGACTGAGGTACAGGTCAGATCTTTGAG